GCGGGCGCTGCTGGCGCTGGCCGCGGCGCTGCTGGCGCGCGGCGCCCCCGACTACGACTACGTGAGCTACCAGTCGGACGTGGGGCCCTACGGCGGCGGCGGCGGCGGGCGCTTCTACGCCAAGGCGCGGCAGTGCGTGGCCATCCCCGCCGACCTGCGGCTCTGCCACGGCGTGGGCTACGACAAGATGGTGCTGCCCAACCTGCTGGAGCACGAGAGCATGGGCGAGGTGAAGCACCAGGCGAGCAGCTGGGTGCCGCTGCTCAACAAGAACTGCCACATGGGCACGCAGGTCTTCCTGTGCTCGCTCTTCGCGCCCGTGTGCCTCGAGCGGCCCGTGTACCCGTGCCGCTGGCTCTGCGAGGCCGTGCGCGACGCCTGCGAGCCCGTCATGCAGTTCTTCGGCTTCTTCTGGCCCGACATGCTCAAGTGCGAGCAGTTCCCGCAGGACGACGTCTGCATTGCCATGACGGCGCCCAACGCCACCGAGGTGGCCAGGCCCAGAGGTGGGTGCGGGCGCGCGGGACGGGACAAGACGGGGAGCGCCTTGGTGGGTACACGTGCCCCGCGCCCCCGGAGCGGCTCTCCTCTTGCTTGGGGGTGCAGAGAGCCTTGTTCTGCGCAGGCTTCGCGATGCGCTCGCGCTTTGCTCCCGTTAGCAAAGCCAGGCAAGGTGCCGTGCAAAGTTTTGCAGCCACTCACGCTTTGCATGTGCCGTATCTTGTGTCCTGCACGCTCGTAAGCGAGCTGTTGGCTTGCAAAGATGCTCGCAGAAAGGGAGTCCGTGAAATCCTGGCACCCAAGGGAGTGCTCTGGGGCGCCCGCTTTTTTTTTCTTTCTCCCCCATTAACACCTTAAAATTGGAATTTGTTGCTGCCTCTCCGAGAGCTGACCTGCAAATTCCTTTCTGCTTAAGCGTGGGCGGTGAAGCCTGCAGGCCCCCYGGGATGCACCGGCGGAGCCGCAGATTAATTCGGCATTACACATTCCTGCCCCTGCCCRCAGGGGAACGCGGGAGCCGGACGGAGGCTGCAGGGTCAGAGCTTGGGGCACAGGGGGCTGCAGGGACCCGGGGGCCTCCAGGGGAGGTGGCAGCACCCATCGGCTGCAGCACCTGGAAAATGCATCCCGAAGGGTGACCCTGGAGCGAACACAAAAGCGGCATCTCCCAGAGCCACAGATGTCCCTGTCAGGAGCCCAGATCCACATCTGTGCTGCCGGCTGGTCTCTGCTCCGGCCGGAGCCAGGAGCTTGGGAGCGGTTTCAGCCCTTGGGATGACACGAGCTTCCATGTCGCGCTGSATCCCGGGATGCGCGCGGCATTCCAGCCCCCGCGCGCCGCAACCCGCGCCGTGCTCTGCTCTGCCSCGCAGGAACCACCGTGTGCCCGCCGTGCGACAACGAGATGCAGTCGGAGGCCATCGTGGAGCACCTCTGCGCCAGCGAGTTCGGTAAGGGGCACGTGCCCRCACGCTTTTCCCGCGGCTTTCCCGGCCATCCGGCCGCTCCGGAGCGGGCTGGGGGCCAGGGGTGGCCCCGTGGCAGACGTGCCTCTAGATGTCAGTGTCGGCTCGCGTGGCCACGGAGGAACGTGGGCTTGCTCGGATCAACCCCTGGGCTTTGACGTCCTTGCTGGGTGCCGGACTGCCCGGCAAGGTGATGGGAGCCGCCCAAGCAAGGTGCGCGTTCCTTSGGATTAGCGCTCCGGCGGCGCCGCGCTTCCAGCGGGAAGCGCTCCTGAGCGCACCGGCGATGCCCGGCAAAGGCTCCCGCCACCAGGAAAAGCAGCGCCGCCGCCTCTGCTTCCCAGGCACGTCCCGAGGATGGAGGAGCAGCCGGCGCTGCCGGGCGCGGGCTGCAAGGGGACAGGGAATTGGGACCGTGCGCCGGCGGTTCCGCCGCTCTCCGGCACGCGCGGACGTTGTGCAAGCGAGCGGCGGCCGAGGCCAAAGCAGCGGCATCCTCGGCGCCGTCCCGCAACGTGGGGCCTGCCGGGAAGCTCGCGGCGGCGGCGCCCGCCGGGCAGGAATGTTTCCTGGCAGCGCCCGGGAATGCCGGAGAGCTCGGCCGGCCGGTGCCGTGCGGCGGGGATGGCGCYGCCAGTTGCATCCGCTCCGCTCGAGTGGAGGCCGGCGCTTCCAGCCGTCGTAGGGACTCGGCATCGGGCTCTGTGCCCCGGATCAGCAGGAATTCCAGGGACTTTGTTCCGAAGTGCGCCGGAGCGCTCGCTGAGACCCAGATTCCTCCCATTCCTCTGTCTTCCCGCTGCCGCCCTCTTCTTGTCTTGGGAAGAGGAGCCTGGATGCAGCCGCCAAGGGCTCAGCTGGTGGCAGCGGTGCTGCTCCGTCCTCGTGCCGGGACACCCTCACCTTCCCGCTTTGTCCCTGGAATCCAGAGCGGGGGTGAAGCTCCAGAGCGGGGGTGAAGCTCCCTGGCAGCCGGGTGGGCTGCGGAGCTGCCGGCATCCCTGGCACAGCGCGGCCGTGCACGGAGCGCCGATCCTGCCGGCGCACAGGGAATCCCATCCGGACAGCCCCTGCTCCGACGGAAAGCGTGCTGGGCTGCAGCAGCCCCCAACTCCCTCCTTTCCTCCTCTTTCCCAGCAGGTTTATTTATTGTTTCTGCGCTTCCCGGGGCTCCGAGCGCATCCGGCGGCGCGGGAGCCGCCGCTGCAATGGATACCCGCTGTTTGCTTTTCCCCTTGCCCGGCAGCTCCCTGCCGGCTGCCTTCTCCCCTTCCAGCCCTAACGCGGCTCCTGGCACCATTCCCTCCCCCAGCGCTTTTCCAGGGGAGCAGCCTCGCTCCTCAACACCCCGAATGCGGGAAGCGCCTGGAAAACTTGGCCAGGGCGGTCGCCGCTCCGTGGAGCGGGAGCGAGCCTGAAGGAAGCTCCCCAGTGTTGGGAATATGTTAGTGATTTGGGGCCATGTGTGCTTCCCCCCTCCAAACAAGGCAAAGCCAAATGGCACAGGAGCGATGCTTTAATGCACAACATATTTCCATCATTTTTTTCCCTCCATGCGCTAAATTCTCCTTCATGGTCATGGCAAAGAAACATTTTTATTATTATTATTATTTAATTTTTTATTTTGTAAACCCGAGTTGCGATTCGCTCAGGGAGAAATCCGTTCTGTGGGAGTCAGGCGGGATGAGGCACGGATGAAGACTGTTCGGGAATCACTTTGTCCTTGCCCTCCGCGTTGTCTTTCAGCCCTCAAGATGACCATCAAGGAGGTGAAGAAGGAGAACGGCGACAAAATGATCATCCCGAGGAAGAGGAAGGCCCTGAAGCTGGGGCCTATCAGGAAGAAGAACCTCAAGAAGCTGGTGCTTTTCCTCAAAAACGGAGCCGACTGCCCTTGCCACCAGCTGGACAACCTGGGCCACCACTTCCTCATCATGGGCCGCCAGGTGAAGAGCCAGTACCTGCTCACAGCCATCTACAAGTGGGACAAGAGGAACAAGGAGTTCAAGAAGTTCATGAGGAAGATGAAGGCTCCCGACTGCCCCACGTTCCCCTCCGTCTTCAAGTGACCCGCGCACGGTGGCCCCGCTCCCGCCGCGGCTGCCCTGGCCCCGTCGCTTCCACCTGCCCGTTTTAGCGTTTCCCTTTGCAAATCCCGGCCCTYCTGCCGCTCCGAGCCGGTGTTTCCCGTCGTGCCCGCGGCCGGGATGCCTTCGTGCCGTGCGCCAGCTCCGCTCCAAAGCCGGCGGGACGCGTCGAGGTGACGATGGAGGGGAGGACCAAGACGGGCACGGCCAGGGCTGCGGCGCTGGAGAGACCCCCGCCGCAGCCATAGGATGCCCTGGAGCGCTCCTTGCCCTGTCCCTGTTCCACAGCCGTGTCCCCATCCCGCAGCCGTGTCCCCGTCCCGCTCCCGGTGCCGCTGCCGCCTCCGGAGCCCCGTCTCCCTCCGGAGGCAAACGCCCCGGCGCTTCCTCCTCCTCCTCCTCTTCCTCGCGTGCACAGAAGCCTYGGACACTGCGGGAGCCTCAGCCCCRTCCCCGTCGTGGACCCGCGACCTCCGGCGGCAGATTCCCAACTATTTTAGCGGTTGGTTTCCACGCTAGGACTTAACGTTTCCCTTCGACTCTCATCGGGGTTCTTTATTTCTCTGCTTTCCCTCCCATGTATCGATATTTACTTAACTAAAATTGCTGAGTTACGTGATTACAATGTGATTCCCCCCTTCCCTCACCTTTTTTTTTTGGTTTTTTTTTTATAAAGAGACGTTGTTTTCTAGGCTGCGTGGCTGCTTTGCGGGTCGCGGGGAGCGGCAGCTCTCGGGGCGTTCCAGTTAAAGCAGTTTCCTCCCCATCCCATGGGGAAGGCAACGAGGTTGGCAGCCTGGGGAGGTCGGATACCCCGGAGAAGGGCGCGGGGCRCTGTGCACCGCGGTGCCTTTGGCCGCCACCATCATCATCATCATCATCGCCGCTGCCACACGCATCGGGGTTTTACGGTCCCCACGGGGACGTCGCCTCCTCGCCGTGACTTTGACCGCGCTCTCGGGTCGTTAACGTGGCTGCGAGATTAATAATCAAACGCTGCTGCCGCCCGGGGGAGCCGGGGCCGCTTTACGGCTCCTTCACCCTTTCCCAGTCTTTCCCGTCGCTCGCCCTGGCTGCTTATTGACTCATCCTGGGAGGTCTTTGAAGCTTCCTGGGTCTGGTGTTTGCTCTACAGCCCGTCACTTCCCAGCCTCGGGATCATTCCCGGGCTGCCTGGGAGCCTTGCTGGGGTTATTCCCGCCTGGCTCTCTCCATGCTGGGATGTGGAGCCGAGGGCCAAGCAGCAGCTTGGACCGRGCTTGTTCCCAGGGAAAGCCCTGTGCCGGAGCGGCTGCTCCCGCGGAGCCGGCGTCCCAGCATCATTCCCAGTCCCAACCCGGCACCAGGAGCCTCCCTGGTGCCCCGTCCCAATCCTGCCTGTTTCCTGGGATTGCGGCAGCCTTTGGGCACCAGCTCCATGGAAATGTCCGTGACGACCCTGCGTCTCGGCAGCAATTCCCGCGAGGTCCCATGATGGGAATTGCTGCCGGGAGGCAGCAGAGGCTCCTGCCGCTGCCGCCGGGCTCGTCGGCACGCGGGGACATCTGCTCCCAATTAGCAGAACAGCGAAGCAGCGGCGCGGGAGATGGCACCAGGAAATCTCCATCCATCCCTGGCTCCTGGTATCCTGCAAAGGGATATACATTTCCTGCATCGGCTTTAGGAATCCGAGGAAGCCGGTCCTGCAAGAGCCGGCCCAGCCCCAGCGGCCACAGCAGTTAAAGGTGACCCCTGTAGAAACGAGGCGAACGGTGGGAGATTATTAATGAGCAATTAGTTTCTGCAAGTGCTTGAGCTCGGGGCTGCTTTATTTCCCTGCTTGCTGCAGTTTGGGCTGTGCGGAGAGGGGAAAAAMGCCAGTTAGATTCTGCAGGATCGCCTCGATTTCCCCCTTTGCTCCGGTTTTKGGGAGCTGACAGTTGTTCCCAGCGCCAGGCAGCAGCTTTCCATGCCGAGCGCTCCCGTCCCGGCTCCTTAATCACTTCCAAATGCCCCTCTAAGGGCTATATTGTTTCAGCATCCAGCCCCTCATTTCTTGAGATCGCTGAAATAAGACTCTGCTCTCGAACACGTGCTGGGGAACGGTCCCTTTCCGCTGTATTTTTAAAATATACATGTGGTTTAATTCAGCGGCAGGGCTGGAGGGGCCTTCCTTTTCCATCAATCCCGGCAGTTTTCCCCTTGTTTTTCTCTCGAGCGGCACCGGCCAAACTGGGGGGCACAAGGCAGCTCCCATTGGGATGCGTGGGCTCCCCATTGCCCCAGGCAGAGCTTGTTGCTCTTGATTATTGCAATCCCGGAATCCCGGAATCCCAGGAGGGTGTCCCTGGAAAGGAGCTCGCATTATGTCTGTTCAGGTGCAAAACGCGCCCGGCTGGACTAAAATAAACGGTATGAGAAGGAAACCACTTGTCGTCGTTGTCTTCCCGTCTTTTTAGCATTGCTTACACGTTATTCTCCCTTTCCTTTCCTTTCCTTTCCTTTCCTTTCCTTTCCTTTCCTTTCCTTTCCTTTCCTTTCCTTTCCTTTCCTTTCCTTTCCTTTCCTTTCCTTT